CTATGTTTCTCTTTCTAGATTTTTCATCTATCACATTCGGATTAGAAATTAGGAAATCAGTCTTTTTATTTGAAGAAAAAAAAATTATTTTACAAATTGAAAATTGTCAAGAAAACAAGCGACAACTTGCACTTCGAAAAACAAAAACAACCCAATCTGAATACATCTGATAATCTGGAAAGAAACAGAAAAAGATTATCTTTTCAAGATAACGATTTTGATGATGAGTTTTTTTGGTTTTTCTCCAAATTAATTTCCAAATATATTTCCTGAAAAGATCGAAAAACAACAACCACAAAAAAAAAATACACAAAAATATCATCATCAAAAATAGAAAGTTTTGTCAAACAAACAGACAGACCAAACAAAAGTTATTTTCGTTTTTTGTTTACATCGAGATTCCAATCAACATCAATGGATGGATAAAATATGTATTATGATTAATCGACTAAAGATGATGACATGTGGATCATTTCAAAATATTTTTTCTTCTTTCTTTCTTTTCTTTTTCTGGATCATCATCAGTTTTTTCCTTGTTGTTGTCGTTGTTGAAACATTGCTTAAAATGGATGATTTTACTTTTACTTTTATTTTTTCCTTATCCATTTTTGTCAAGCTAAAAAAATTTCCACATTTTTTCGACATCGAACCGATCTTTTTTTGTTTGGAAAAAGCGAAAGATTTTTAAGATTTTTAAATTTTTCATTGATTCAAATTCGAATTGAAAATGAATTTTTCTGATCAAGTTTTTGTTTCAGATTTTGTGTGTGTGTGTGTTTGGTCGACGAATCCACTATACTGAATATACAGAACGAAGAGAATCTTGGGAAAAGGGAGAGAGTGGCAGAAAGAAATTCAATTAAATGAAAATGATTGGAAAGTGAAAAAGTGAAAATGAAAAAAAACAATGTTATCTTTAGTTCTGTCTGTTCTGTTCTGTCGTTTTTATTTTCGTTTCAAATTTGAATCGAACCAGATAATAAAAAAATTGAAGAAAATTTAAAAACAGAACCGAACTGACATTTGATTTTTCCCGATCAAATCAAACCAAACCAAACAAACCAATGATATTTGGTGTTTTTTTTTCTCGATTTGTATTCAAGGCTATATCTATTAAGGGGTTTTTTTTCGTTAGATTTTCGTATAAATTCTTTCCATGTTTAAAAAAAAAAAATTAATTTATATCGGATTGGGAGAGAAAATAATTGATCATCATCATTGAGTATCATTGATCAACATCATCCTCATCGTCGTTTTTTTATCAATTATTAATTTTTTGAGGGAAAAAAAATAAACA